CCCCCCCCCTCGCCCCCCCCCCCCCCCCATGTCACCCAAAGGGATGCCGCCTGGGGCAGGGGCCACAGGCTGCCTCATTACAGGGCCAGCCCTGACCTCATGGAGGTCCATGCAATGTCTGCCTGTGCTCCCTTTGCTATTAACTGACTGTAATTTCATATCAGGCTTACAATGTCATGATTTTCCGGAGCAGATACTAACTCTTCCTCTTCTTCTGTCCCGGCAGACGTGGATCCATTACTTCTCCTGCGTGCTGTTCTGGGCTTTCTTCTGCTACTCCCTGGAGATCGCTCAGCTGCTCAGCCCCAACCCCACCGAGAGGTCAGCAATCATCTGCCTAAAAACCTAGAGTGAGAGTGGCCCCTGGGCCCCCGGGTACATCTCTGGGGTCCCCTCGGATCTCGGGGATCCCCCTCGTAGTAATGGTTACATGTATGTGTCACTTCCCTCCAGTGTTCTCTGAATTGTTACATTGTATCTCTTGTCACCCTTCCTGTGATCCCCGGCGCCATCTGGTGGCCGCAATGTGGTATTGTCCTCGCTCACTGCTGTCTATAATACATGCAGAACATTCGAAGGGGGAAGAGAGAGAACAGTCAGAACATTCGATGAGTCCCATTCTGACTGCAGCTGGTTAGCGAATGTTCCTGTCATTTCATTGGATGATTAGCTATCAGCTGACCCCCCCTCCCACCCCATGTGTCCCAGGAGGAGGAAGAAGGAGGTTTTGTACCCCCGCATGGCAAATGAAAATCTATTGACCATTCTAGATCAGATTATATGTTTTAGGTCTGAATACCGTGTTGCTTCCCGTGTAAATGTTCATACGTGTTGGTGTGTTCTCTGCTCAGGTTCGGGAGGTTCTTGACGTTCTTGTGTTGGGGAGCCTCCAGCCTCGTCCTCCTCCATGGGCTTCTCCTGGTGATCCCATCTGAACAAAGGTAAGTAGAACCTCCAGCCCCCTCACACTTCATCCCTCAGTGTATATGTATGTATGTATGTGTGTGTGTGTGTGTATAGATATCTATGTTTGTATATGTGTGTGTGTGTGTGTGTATGTATAGATATCTATGTTTGTATATATGTGTGTGTGTGTGTGTGTGTGTGTGTATAGATATGTATGTGTGTGTATAGATATGTGTGTGTGTGTGTGTGTGTGTGTATAGATATGTATGTGTGTGTGTGTATGTGTGTGTGTGTGTGTGTATGTATAGATATCTATGTTTGTATATGTGTGTGTGTGTGTGTGTGTGTGTGTGT